TCGGATATCGAGACACCAGTACATGAACTACAAAATGTTATTTAATAATAGTAAATTCCTTTCGATTTTATATGCTTTACAATTTAAAAAAAATATATACTTTAATAGTAAACTTTAATATTTAATATTGTTCGAATAATGAGAACTTCTTGTTTTTAATTCGGTAATCGAGTTGTTTGAGAACCGGGCTTTGACTGTAATATAATTATTGGAGTGCATGAAGTAAATTAAACTCATGTAGTAGTTGAACAAGGAACTAGGGTGATAACAAAGATGTTTAACTGATAGAATCAACGGTATTAATTTAATTTTAAAATAATTAAACTTTTTTTATGTTTATATCAATCAAGAAAATCTAAATGTGTATTGCAATATTCAGTATAGATTTACGAACAAAATATATTCCAAAATAAAAATGCATACATGTAAGTGTTAAATTATACATGACAAAATCATGGAACAAAATCACGCATGACATGTTTATATTCCTGCGGAATAAAAAAAATATATATACATATGCACGTGCGTATAAATTATCATTGGTTTAACATTACAATGAATATGGGTTTGTGGGTCAGGAGTTCGTTAATTATTGAATAATGGAAATACATTATGTTCGGTACAGGGAAGTTCCCAAAATTTGATAAGAATTAATGGGGCCACAGCAAACATGAATACACGTAACAGTTATAATAATAATAATATCGTCCGTTCCAGCATTCGCCCGCATATATTCATACAGCCACGATCCTTGATATGCGTCAAATAGGAATTGCAGACTATAATAATGTGTGCTGTTGAAGTTATGGGGGAAAAGCGTAAGCGGCGGAGGAGCCGGGCATGCGGGCAAATGAGCGACGATGAACTCTGAAATCGATAATTAAACATCAATTGCAGATTATTAATATAGGGCTAATAATATAAATGGAAAATGTGATATGTGTGCACATTAAGAGTGGACTTTGATATATCCCAACTGCGACCGCGTTTACCCATTGCGGTTTTCATAAACCGTGTAGAAAGTCAATTTGTCCAGCGCAGCGATGCCAACCAACCGCAAAGTTGTGTATCCATATGAGAATTCATTATATGCAGTTCTCGAATGCAACAATTTTTCATTTTTTCAACTTTGTCAATGCCAATTCACAGTAATGTATGAATACTCGCTACATTCTCCAAACATCCAGCTTTCATATGCATCTTATGAATCCAATGGAACTAATTTTGTTCGAGAATTGGAAGTAATTTTGCTCGCGTTTGTAATAATTACAATAATTATCGGTCAGATAATAATCTTGTTTGTTTCTTTTTTCTTTGTTTGGTTGTATGTTGGGAATGGATGTGTGGCCCAGTGGCAAGGCCGACTAGTTATATAAATAGACACATTCAGAAAGTCCGTACTTCTCTCTCTTTCTCTCCCTGTACGTGTTGAATGCAGCAGTCACGAACATTTTGAATTGTTAAAACCTACCATCATTTGTCATTTTCCTGATAAATATTGCATCGTGGATAGTGCGATCAGCTAGGAAAAATCAAAGTTCCGTCTATTATATCTGCATTTATACCGACTGAAATCAGTATTACGATTCTTATTATAAATACGTTTTTGATTATCTTTTGTAACTTAACAGCTAATTAGACAGTATACAGGAAAACATGATCTTACAATTTGATTATTGACATAATGAAAGTGTTGTTTATTTATACTTTAGATGCATTATTGTACATAAACACTAAACAAGTAATAACACACAAAAAACTAAAGTTCCATTTGATACAGGACACATACAGGAAACGTCTATTCAAATATTGAAGCATTCTAAATCCCTAATAGTCATACCATTACGTACTATTTGCAGCCAATTATAACAATCTAACAAATGTGTACAATAAGTTCTAATCAAACTGCAATTAAGTCCGAATTCAGTTGATTTATAACGCATTATACACATGCGAGTTCCATGCTCCGCTCTGTAAAGTGACAAACCTGATTCAACTTTATGTTCAAAGTTATATAATAGTTAACATAATAAAATTGTAAAATTGAATACAACCCAGTTGTTGCTTCGGTTTGATGCTAAACTACCGCATAACATGCGAATTTCGTTTAGCGTGCATTTATTTCCCAACACTTTGATAATCCATCTCTGAGATTTCGTGCACTGTAAAATGACGCAGTGCTACTACTATTACCACCAGTAGATTTGCAATTTTTGCATGCATTGCTCTGAACGAACGCGAATTCATGCTAGAAAGACTTTGAGCTATTTGAAATAATCTGTTTTATATTCACTTGAATTCCTGCATTGATCGAACTGCCAGAATGCATGGATTAAACCGCACCATCCAACAATCACAGGCGACTGAAATTGCGGATTGTTACATCTCGCATAAATAGCTAGACGATTTTAGTGTTCGAGCCTTGTTTTAGTTTCGCGAAATACAAAAAAAAAATGTAAAAATAAATAAATGTTTATTTTAGTGGAATTATTTGTTTCGATTCCATTTTTGAAAAGGAATCATTGAATGTTTGAAAACGTTTGTGTGTAAACTTTTATTGGTTTTTTTTTTAATAAATTGTGATATCATGAATTATTACATTTATTCATGTTGAAACAAACTCAATAGGGAATTGATTAAAAAAAAATGTGCATATTATTTATCCAATTCATTATTTACACATTTTTTTGTTGCTAAAAATCATTACTTTATTATGAATAATTTGGTATTATATAAATATATAAAATTTACACTGCACGTTGCATTATAGGTAAAATTAATGATTCAGAATTGTACATAATATAGCTCTACTCTGATTTGAGCTTTACTTTCTGTTTTTATGATAATTTACAACACATCAGTCAACTTGGAAATAAAAACGTTGGGTCATTTTTTTTGTGTGAAATATATGGTAATAAATCATGATTATATATTATTTTAGGTACGTATTGTGTAATCAATAACATGCGTACATGAACATTTTTAAACCGCATGAGGATTTATATCTTATCTTGCAATGATTCATATACTTACATGAATACTGTAAATTATTACGAAGAAATAAATTATATTGTGCTTTCAAACATCTCGAAAATGCCTATAATACCGGATAATGTATATTGTAATTTTTGGTAATCTGCAAAGAAATCTCTTTGATGTTATGGATTTGCAGACAAGTTTTTATACATAAACAATAATCAAACTAAAAAGGACTATTAACAACAAGTTATTTATACATCTGATATACATACATAAAAGTGTGAAATTGTTAGTTAAAATTAACAATATCTAACGTATTGTTATTATTAACAATCATGAATGCAATGGAATTAAAATCATGTAGAATTTATGAGTTATGTAGAATTATCATATGTTGTTTTCGATTGTTACAGATTTACGACTTTTATTTTCCGAATATTGTTCTCGATTCAACTACTGAATGCGCAAATTGATTTAACAGTTTTACGAGACTGCGAATAAGCAGCAGTTTTAACGACTGCGTGTCTCGTGCTGGAAATGATATAATTTGGTTCAAACGCAGACGCTAAATTGAAATTGCCGCAATTCTACGAGACAAACATTTATAAATCACCTGTTTTATGCGATGTGCCGGCCCGTGCCATCGTGCACGTTCGTTCCTCCTGTTGCAATTTAATAATACCACTACTTTCCGTCATATCTGATCACATTAAGCCGAACGCTCGGATTTATTACGTGCGACCACAATAATGCCATTATATTTTATTATTGACGGCAGGATATTGAAATCCAAATTATTTATTATCCCCGAGTCATGAATCATTGTGTGTGTGTAGATGATATTAATATTAAGAATTTATTTGTGTGCCTTTTTTTTTACCATTTCGTTTTCATTTTCTTTCTTCGCTTGTAGACAATCAGGTTTTCTTACAATAGATGGATAGATTCCAATCTAGGAATCCAATCAGGAATTGCGTCCACTTTTCCGAATTTATTTCAGTCGTAAATCAATACTTTAATTTCCACCCTGTTGCCATCAAAACACATCGAATCCTTTTATTCTTCCACTTGCGTTGCTGCCAATATTATTACAAAGTTATTAATTTCCGGGATAAATAACATCAATTCTTGATGCTAGAAAGGAAAAAGTAACGTTTCCTTCTATAAATCATCGTTGATAGTAAATCAATATTCAAACTGCATTAAGTAATTGGCATATCAATATATAATAATATTCATTTATATAAATCCTTTCACATTTGCCATAATTTATAATTATTTTAGAACAATTTATTAACCAAATTCTTTAATAACACTGCAATATTTAGACCCAAGCTATTATAAGATAATCTTCTAGTAATTGTTAAAAAGTTTGACTGAAAAGACACAAAGTTAGTAAATTTTACTGCACGAACATAATAATCAAATATATGGGAATGTAATATGTTTATTTTTCTCAACATTATTTGTAATTACTTAAAATTTAAATAAAATATCTTTTGGGAACTCGAATTTTACTACACGTTTTCCAATCTTCAATGAATACTCGAGTGGTCTTGAATTATTTCTCCCCCTTGAGTATTCACGAGTGGTGACAATTCATCAGATGGAATATTTTATTTCACCTTGCAATTTCACGAAGTGACTTTATTGAATCATCCAATCAACGTTGGTACTCAGAAAGAAATTCTGTATTGAATGAAATGTACCCAAAGTCATTTTCCGGAATCAATACTACTAGTAATATATCGGTCAATGCACTAGTATATATAAATTACTATAAATAATCAACATGTATAATGCGTACGCTAAGCGAATGTACGTTCATGGGATAATGAATACTTAAATTTAGTTATTTTTTGGTAGACACGTGGACTCTTTTGTAGTCGATTTGTAGATTTCAATCTTATCTGTGATGTTTTTATATAATACAATATATATACGTAACTGGTAACTTGTCTGACTGATATTATTATAAGTTACTTTATGTTCTACTTAATATGTTTGTTTTTCTTTTTCAGATTTATGTTAGTCCTGGTGTGCCTCATATTTAGTGTTCTTTCGACAATCGATACGTATCAAGACTTCGCCAACGAAACACTGTTTTGGATGGTACGTATCCTATTTATATTCAAATTAGTTTACGTGTCGATTTTACGCGCAGAACGAGATCAAAATTTAATTGAATGCAAAAAAAAAATCTATGCAATCTATTAAAGAGAATGTACGAAAAGTAAGAGTGCGTCGACGAGATTGGTGCCTAATGGAGAGAATTTAATTAAAATTTGCAGTTGCATTGTGTTCAAAAATAAATTACAATTTGTATTGTTTATTGGAAACTAAAAATAAGTGAAGGTTGACTGCGTAATTACGAACTGACAAAGGTTAATTTTGGTTACAATTTTTACAGGTTTTCACCATTTATAAAGTGATTGTAAGTAAATAACAATTATATTCCAGCCAACATAATTTTTCTTACAGCACAAATTATTTCACTTCTAATATATTAATTTAATGAATGACGAGTAATGAGCGAAACGCTGCGGAAAATATGAATGGAAATGCGACTTCGTATTATATGCACCAAGCACATGCAAGCACCAATTCAAACGAAAACCAATCAATTTTACATTAATTCTCATTGACTTCTGCATCAACAGTTGACTGCATTTTGACACCAGTTATGTCGTGATGATCGACAGCGACAGAGATTTGCTCTGACTCCGAACTGACTGACACGAACCTCCTTATTTCTGTCCGGGATTCAAACAAATATTGTTATTTACTTTCACGTCGGTTAGTGAAAACGATAGGCTGGCAATGATTTATTACGCGCGGACAGTCCTGCGTCCTGGATGATTAATGATGCGGCCACGTGTAATTTTGGTCTCCTTTTTCAACCGTCGCTTGATATATTTAATGTTATTGAATTCCATCAAAATGCGAAGTACCGATTATCGTGTTTTGTACACGTACTAATATTTTAAGTGTACGTTTTGTATGCGATTACGGATAATATCATCTGCTTTCAATACATGCAACAAATTATCACAAATCTGTGTATATTACTTGAATGATAAAGAAATTATTTCAATCTTGCTAATGGTCTATAGTTATACATTTTTCAATTTATTTAATTTCAAAGTAATTCTTATAGGATTTCGATTAACTCAAAATTTATTATTATTATTATTTTAACATAGCCATAAAAGCTGAATTATGTTAAAGCAAAATTGAATATGTGACTAGGCAACATCAGTTTAATTACATCCATTCTGGTGTACTAAATTAACTAATGCGATGTATTTTGAATTGTACAGAGTTCTGCAATGTACATCAATTGATCGTCAATATCCGACTACTCCCATTGTTGTTTTATATTTACGTTTACATGTCGTTATCTATGGTTTCTAAATTACTTTTCACTTCATATTTATAGTTCAATTATTATCATGTTACTAAAGTATGTAAAATAATATATTTATTTTACAATATTTAAATCTTTTGTCACTGTTTGCTTTATACGATTTCTAATTTTTCGTACTTTTTTTATATGAAAGTTTAAAAGTTTCCTTCGTTGTGCTAAATATTAAAGTCCATTATATCCGAGCATACACAAAAAAAAAAAGAAGAAGCTGTTTGCAAACCGAGCGAAAAACTTCCTGTTGACTTGGCGAGTTCATTGTGCAATGAAGCGTATACTTCGCAGTGAAGACCTTCTAAACTTATATATAATAATCCAGTGAAATGCAGTAACGAGTTTCCTTTGAATATATCGCATAAATAATGCAACGATATTATTGATTTAAATATTGTTGCACGCTAGAAGGTTATTCAAATCAAATGTAAAATTCTCGATGCGTGAATTGAATATTTCATCTGTATTTATAAAATATATAAATTATTTTTTTCAAATTTAATTATGATAATATTTTATTTTGCAAATCACATTCGTTTTCTGGTGTTACTGACTGTGATTAATTAGTAATTGAATCGACGTCGACAGTATTGCACGTACATTTGTATTGATTGTTTGGCTTGGTTTTGCGTCATTTGTACTGTTCTTTTTTGTTTTGTTTTGTATTAATACTATTTTATGGTAAAAGCGAATGAGAATTTAAGTTGTGTCGGACGAAAGTAAGTGTTATTCCGTAGCAGTGCAGCAGCGTTTTGAGTAAAACTTAATTTTGTCGAGTGCTTAAAGTACACACAATAGAGATTGCCTTTGTTTTGGGAACTTTTAACGTTCATAAATATTCACAAGCAGTTTATCCTGGAGACGCAGTCATTATAAATAAGGATTATGCACTCGCACGACTTATCGTTTCCAAAAGGGATTTTCCATTCACGGATCCAGTTATCAGCGACTAACGACGTCTTCTCGTTTGTTCCAGGAAATATGCCTCGTCGTTTTTTTCGGAGTCGAGTACTTGGTGAGGTTGTGGTCTGCTGGATGCAGATCGAAGTACATGGGATTTGCAGGTCGTCTTCGATTCATCCGGAAACCTATATGCATCATCGGTATGTATCTACACAATTTACAATATTAGTTTAAAGGTTTAGAATGAGAATTTATACGTAAGTTGTTGTTTCTGTCTATAATATAATTTAGCCAATTAGTAATTTGATATAGCTCGAAACGTTGCACAGAATTGATGCTTAGGAACACGAATAATTACTTCGGAAGGGCCGGCGGTAAACCCTTAATATCCCTCATTACAGTCCATCATTTCAGACCACATCTAATCCAGCGTTACATATTTACAATCGAAAAGATTCCTAATAAAAATTCGATGGAATGTAAACTTTAAAAAGTAGAGCATTAACGATTGGAGTTAGTAATAAATAATATTACTCGCTCAATACGATGCATTTGGTTAAGGTTTCGTGAATAAATCATGAACGTCGAAGGTTATGTATGTCTTTATGGGTCAGGAGCGTTTGCAGTAAAAACGTGATGAAAAACAAAGCAACAACAAAAAAAAAACACGGAAAGTACAATAATGCGTACAGAGAACAATAGCACACGCTCCGAAAAGCGTAGCGGCTTTCAATTATTAAACAACAAATTAAAAACGCTTTTCCCTTTGTCGTGTAATCAATTTAAGCCTCGTCACGGCATGTAATTGAATTCCAGCAAAACTTCCTGTTTGTCCTCAAAGGAATTTGTTTAGGGTTAAGATTTTAATCTAGCGGTAATATTTTCTTTTTTTGTAAATTAATTTCTGAAATTGAACGACGATTAAATTGCGCATCCATTGTGAAATTCTCATTTATCTTTATAAAGGGGGCTAAATAATTTAAGGAGATTGGATTGAAGGGTCGCCTGAGTTATTGTATTATTATTACATACAAAAACAATGTTGAATGATGATGAAATCAAATGTCCAATTACGATTAATTAATGAACGGTTTCGGTTCCGTGAAATATTCCAAGTGCTTCGGCTTTGTGACGGAACTTGATGAAATATTCAAGGCGTTGCATCGATGAAATTATTGTACGTAAATACTTTAGGTAATATTAATTAAATATCTCTCTGTTTCCAGATTTAATCGTCGTCGTGGCGTCGATAGTCGTGCTAACCTACGGCTCCAATGGCCAAGTTTTCGCCACATCCGCCATCAGGGGAATTAGGTTCCTTCAAATACTTCGCATGCTGCACGTAGATAGACAGGGTGGCACGTGGAGATTGTTGGGATCAGTAGTCTTCATACACAGACAGGTTAGTTAATAAGCGATGTTATTTCAGTGTGTGTGTGTATCCAAATCAGAAACTTTCCTGAAACAACATCTGCTCCAGATCTGTACAGCTAGGTTGAGGCGAATTTGGGATAATATAATTCAGGGAGAGAGAGAGTGAAAAAATATGATGAAGTGTAAGGAACAGGTTGAATATTATCGCAAAAGCCATTTTCGTTTTTCCGAAAGTTTTTCCGGCTGCTGCTGCTGCTGTTTCTGGTTGTCGATCGATTAATGCATACGTTGTTTTATTTGGGGTTGGAATGAGTATGCATATATACGTGTATGTTTCGGGGGGTTTATGAGAGCTAGTCATTAACGTTACGTCTGGATAATTTATACCGATTAAGTGGCCACCCAAATTAATTTCACCAATCCACGCATCGCAAGGGCTTTCCGAACTCTCCGGATTTGAGAGGGTCTCCGCCATCAAATATTTATACGGTTATTAAATAATTTACCATTTCTGCGAATCCCCTTTCACCTGCAATGCATGAACACGTCACACACTTAACTAACTCTCTCTGCTCTTGTGTTTTTGCAGGAACTAATAACGACGCTGTACATCGGTTTCCTCGGGCTGATCTTCAGCAGCTACTTCGTATACTTGGCGGAAAAGGATGCGGTGGTTGCGGATGGCAAGAACAACTTTTCCAGTTATGCGGATGCCCTCTGGTGGGGTGTGATCACGGTCACCACCATCGGGTACGGGGATACCGTACCGAGGACGTGGATGGGGAAAATAGTGGCCTCCTGCTTCAGTGTATTCGCCATTTCATTCTTCGCTCTTCCAGCTGTAAGTCCGCATTTGCATTATTAATCGTCGCGCGAAGAAACACGGCCGAGTCGACCTCTGTTATACAAGACAATGAGGCCCGAAACCTGAGAAATTCCTTTTCGTAAATTGTTCATGGCCATCTTAATAATGCATCGCCAGCAATCTCGGCATCGTTCAACTTGTTATATAAGAGTATTAAAGATGCAGGAACACGCGTGAAATTATTTCTGTACTCTTTGCCTGCTGGCATATATACATTCAATTCCTTTTTTTTCTCTCTCTTTCAAATATACTAGAAGAATCCTGACTAGATACAAACAAATTTAATTATGAAAACCATTTTTAAACACATTTTAAACATAACTTAAAAATCGTACTTTTTTAAACAACTTTGACCATTGATTTTAGAAAGAATTTATTAAAAAAATAAATTAATTCGCTTTAAAATTAATATCAGATAATTCTCAATAAGTACTGTATATATATAGTATAATTCAGACTAAATTGATTCTTCGAATTCCTGGAACTCTAGCTGCAGTAATTGTAATTACTTTGTTATTTAAATAGGTAATATTATTGGTAATATCTAAAATTGCATCAGATATATTTTATTTGATAGAAATCCCTTTTTCACGTTCAACTGAGTTCAATATTGAAAGGGAATAACGACCTTGCGCTGCTTCTCCTTGGAGAAATCAAAATCTCTCTGTAAATTCAGTAGTCCTCTCCGCTCTCGCGTGCCAATAACTCTCAACTGCACGAAACGTGATTCAGTGGATTTAAAGTGGATAAAGATCAGGTTAAGAATCATCCTTTTGTGGACGGTCCGTCGAACGCGCATGTTACGCTTCATTAAATATAATCCGATCCGAAGCGGACAAAAAAAAAATGTATAGAAATAAAAATTGAACGTTGCGATGGATCAGCAAACTTGAATGTTAGAGATATTGGAACATTTGCACGATTCGGTGTTTTTTTTTCTATTTATCGTGTGTGTATGTTCTCTGTTTTGAAGGGTATTTTAGGATCGGGCTTTGCATTGAAAGTGCAACAGAAACAGCGACAGAAGCACTTCAATCGTCAAATACCCGCAGCGGCGATGTTGATCCAGTGTCTGTGGCGATGTTACGCTGCCGACAAGAGCTTCAATTCCTCGGCAACATGGCAGATCTATCTGAAGGACACCAACTCGAATTGCAATCAATCTTCGGGCACATCTAATATAAATCTACCTTTATCCAAAGTAAGGCTCACTTAGATAACATGCTCAACTCATCTGTGCTGCTCTATTTACGATCCTTATTAAGATATTTATAAAGCGAAATTTAATACGTCAGATAGAACGTCCCCTCATTAAATTTAAGGACGAAGCATTAAATCTACCTTAATGAATATCTTGGTAATTATCTATGCTAATACAAAATTTATTAATATTCAAGCTTATTTCTCAAAATTCTAGTATCAACCACTACAGTTAACTCTTCTATGCACTCTTCGAGTAATATTTAAATTCCAGATTCAATATAAATCATATTTTAGAGTTCATCCTATAATTTACTTCAATATTCTAGATTCATTCAACAGCGAGATTGATTTCAAGTAAATTTAATTGAAATTTCTAATACTAGTTTATCCAAATAATACAAATAAAAAGATCGCTCGTTTTATGTTAAAATTGGATTTGTGTAACAGCAGCGTGTAGCCGGTTTTATTTAAAATAACTTTAAACAAAATAGAATCTGGTATCGGCAAATTGTTAACGGAATATATTTTTTTTTTAAATCACAAATTTATACTAGTTGAAAACAAATATACAATACATTAAAATCTAGTTGTTCTATTTTATGGACTGTTTGCGTCAGTGATTTAAATTACAATAAGTTCAATATCATATCAGATGTAAAACAATCAGAATATATATTTTCTTAATATTTGATCATAATTTCTTGAAAAATAAGTTAACTTCGTAAAATATAATGTTTTATAGTATATTTAATGTTAATCGAATAGTCATTTTTCAGAAATCGTCGGAAACGGCAATTTCCACAAAATCAGATTGAAGACAAACTAATTTTATATAGGATCGATCCAGCGATTTGAATGCATTTAATGAAGAGAGCTTTTCGCACTGCGAAGAATATATATATATACGTTTTTTACTCTTTCGCTGTTTACTTTCAAGTCTTTGTTTGTACCTATAGAAACTCGCCTGCATAGAAGTTGTGGTGAAGATGTAGCAAAAAAAGGATCGGCATTGCTTTGTAAATTACACGCACACTGATAAACCACTTCAATTACAAATTCTCATCAAAACAAGTTGATAGTTTGAAAGCGGCGCACTTCACTTGCGGGCACGCTCCAGGCTTTTAATTTATTACTGTTTTCCCGTTGATGATACTCTTGTAGTGGAGTAGTTGAAGCTGTTGTACTACGTTAGTTTTAGAGTTGAGGCTTGCTTTAGTACTTTTTCTTTTCTTTTTTGAGACACCTCTAGATTGTGCCAAAACCAAAAGTAAGTGTTATGAGGAAAAGTTTGTGCTGTCCTAGTGTTAATAGGCTAGTTATAGAAAGCGATGTTTGGTGTCTCGGTGTTAAGTCTGCATGGGTTTGGGTCAGTCCCTGATATTGCAGGTGGCGAAAAAGGCGTCGGTGTTGAAACGACGGAAGTCGAGGAACAGGATGGAGGCGCCGGGTACACCGCAGGGAGACCAACCTCCGCTTCCTCCGCCACCTCGGGCTGTCGAACAGAACTTGGACACGAATGACGTTGTTTTCTACATGGAAGAGCCCAAGGCCGGTGAGATTCTCATTATAACTTTTTTCTCCTATGTTTCTTTTTGTTCTCTCTCTCTGTCTCTCCATTTTAATGAGCCACCCCGTCGCCACCAACCGAGCTGAAAGGATAATTGGTTATTGTGCGGCATTGTCTTAGCTAACAGCTTCTTCCCTTCAACCTTTAAAATAATATTTACATTTTCTTAATTGAAACTCTAATTATAGCATATCCGTCGGATTTCGTGAACGTATTGAGTGACCTCGCGCTGCACAAAAGACGAAGATTTCATTTTCTCAAATTGGGCACACTTTTGAAAGGAGGAAAAAACTCGAACTTTTCTTTCCACCGGCTGCAACGAAGAAAAGCCGATGAATTGTACCCCAAAAAGCGTCCCTATTGTGTGACACTCGCGACGCGGCGTCAGAGGTTGCTTCATCCAGTTCTTTTATTGCTGATGTGCTCTTATATTAAATTTGAAATTTAAATTTGCCACAATAGCTATACTTAAAAAGAACCTTTTAGAACCTTTTTATATTCTCGTAACTTTGATTATCAAATAACTTTAATATGGATGATAATATTTCTTAATTTTACTATAGAAATATTCTTGTTCTAATATTAACCTTTATAAATAATAATTATAAGTCTAAAGTTATTTTTCGTCTATTTTGTCTGGCAAATTACCGCTGCGTTCCGAAAACGAGCAGGTAAAGTAAATGCCATGGCCAAAGTTTTAGTCCGTAGAGACCTACGATGTATAATATACATACAGTGGTGCCCTATACAAACATCATTACTCCTTCGCCTTACTACCTTTAACCAGTTATTATCAAGCAATTGTGTCTTAGTGAAACAATTGTTAAATTGTTTAGTTTAGTACAATGGAATTTTGACTAAACATTTATTGTGTTAATTACAATACATTTCTGCAAGACTTGAAACTGGAATAAAAACATTCATATAAATGTACATTTTTAACAATAATTATACCATTATGAAAATAATTACATGATTCATCTCTTGTATTTTAAGGTATAATTATTATTGAAGTTATTTAAATAAATAACGTACGTTTATAGAAAAAAGGTGGAAACGACAATTAAAGAAATGTATCTCTCAACAATTTCTAGGTGAACGTAAATGTAACCTACTTTTCTGCTTTTGTAATATACTACATATTTTAAGCTGCTTGAAGTGAAAAAAAACTAATTACATTTTTGAAGGTGTTGTCAGCCCTGTCCGAAGTTTCATCTATTAGAGTGAACGATATTGTGAACAGGGATCTGCAATGTTGTTGTGCCTCGATTCCCTTTCATCTTATTTTCTTGTTGTTTTTTTTATCTTCTTCTCAAATTGAATTCGCTTTTGCTGTTGTCAGGCACTCCAAATAGAATAAGACGTGGTGATAGGGAGAGCGCCCGCGGGGCCATCTTCACTAGCCAAACGAGCACAGTCACCGAAGCCGCCAGCGACGATATCGACGATCTGGACGGTGAACTTCCAAGGGTCACACAGTAAATTCATTTCAAATATATCATCCATCTTTTGTTGACACACTTTAATCGTTCCGCAGATTAACCGAAGCACACAAGAATGCCATAAGGGCAATAAGGAAGATCAAATATTTCGTAGCCAGGCGAAAGTTCCAGCAGGCTCGAAAACCGTATGACGTGAGGGATGTTATCGAGCAGTACAGCCAGGGGCATCTTAATATGATGGTTCGAATAAAGGTAAATTTAGCAAATAATCATTAACCCAATAGAACTTTATTAATATGAAATGCATACAATATGAGGAAATGCGAGGAATGTTTCATTCATAAGTATTCAAAGAAGAAACTGGCTATAAAATTACATGCAAGTTTTCGTAATCCCATAAACTAAATTGAATCAAAGATATTCTATACTTTTCTTAATGTACCCGCGAAATGGGAATACAAGAGCGGTGAAAAAAAATGTATATAAAAGGATTCTTAACCATGGGGGGAACGAGAAGACGAGCTCGCAATTCCGCCCTTAAAAAGGATACGCGTCATCTCGTCGCGTTCACACAGAAATACGTGTACGCACGTACACACCCTTTTTCATCTGCTTACGTGTGCGCGCATAAAGTGTTTGGAAAGTAATTTCCAATTTTCGCCTGTTGCAGGAGCTTCAAAGGAGATTGGATCAGACCTTAGGGAAGCCGGGCAGCTACTTGGCCGGAATAGATCGAGTTGGCAACGTAAAGCCGATGACGGTCGGCGCACGTCTCTACAGGGTCGAGCAACAGGTAAAAAAATATTTCAACTTTATTACCATAATTTCAATTTCAATATTAAAATTATTTCTTTAGCTATGTCATTAGGGATTCTCTTATTGCACCTTTTATATACAGTAAGACCTCGTTTAGGGCTACCTGAATGGTTTTCCAATTGGAGGTTACATAACGATGTGAATTAGTAACCATAATAGATCCGATCATATCATCATCATTTCATCTCCCCCAATGTGTATCGATTTTGACATAATCACTCAACTCTCTGCAGAAGGGATATGTTGAAGTCTAACTGAATGTTTATAAAATGAATAGTTGAGATCTTAGTAATTAGTTGATTAGTTTTACTGATGTGAATTTAATGAAATGATTGTTATTTGATTGCAGTTGGGTAACATGGACAAGAAGATCGATTCGTTGACGTACGTCCTGAATGCCCTAGCACAAAAGCAGCAGGTGTCGCTGCGTAGCATCGAAGACGATGTCTGAGAAGAACGGAAAACGGGAAGGCCGCTGCTGTCGGTCCTCCTGGAATTCAAATTGCGCGGTACAAAAAGAAAGAAATCCAATCATAAAACGCTGTATTCCAAAAACGCTTGATATTAGCAAATCGGGGATTAGATTAACTATCTGTGGTGCGCGAATCAACGTCTCTTCTTAAAACATTAGATTTCTAATAAGCTAAGTACTACGTATGAATAATACATTTAATGAAAAAAAAACGTAAGAAAACATATCCTCCTTGAATTTGAAAAACTTCAATAACTATTTTATTTTTTCTGTTTTAATAACTTTTCTACAAGCAATAATTATCTATATCTAATTGAAACGTATTTATAAAAAAATAAAAAACAAATTGTTTTTTACAAGAGTGCGATTTCTATTGCGCGAAATAACTTTATTAGTGCTTTCGTTATACATTATGTTTTTGTGGTTAAAGAGTCAATAATCTTATATACTTATATATATCATGGTAATTATGGGCACACCTTTGTAAATACTATTATTATTATTATACAACATTACAATTATATTATATACATATTATATACCATTTTAATGATGACGATAACTTAGGGATTTCTAAAAGTGAACTTTAACTATACTAGATCGTGCCTATTCTAAACATGTAGACTCTTAGGTACTATTGTTTCTTACACTGATATTATTAATAATTAATTCATTTGAAAAAGGAATCGCGCCAATGTGATTTATTTCTCTATATAGATACGTAAGCTCTATTTTATAGTACTTATTTTTAAGGGAAAAACGTTATAGGTTGCGTACTGTGATGAGGTCTGGATTCTTCTACTTTATATTATATAAGCTTTATTTATATAAATAATCAACGAATGCAAGTGAATTAGCTCGAAGAGAAGAAGCAATGCACTTTCAATTCAAGTCCCATCGGAGTACATGGAATTTAATGTATATAATTACATATACATACATATATTAATAAAACGGATTTTTTTGATTATGCCGAAGTCAATACGAATTGATTGCTACAAAAACATGATTTTGTAGAGAGACACGTGGCTTCTACACATGGCAACTATCGCTCTTAATGATAGATAATTATTAAAATTAAATTTTAATAAGGAGAAATTAAATAATTTGTGTGGAAAATGATTTAAACGAAAATGGTCAGATGAAAATGTTAAAACATTTAGCAAAGAAGAAATAACGTAGAGAAGAGTAATTTTAAAAATTAATAAAAATGAAGTCAATGTCCATGCTAGAATTGATTTACCAAATATTTATAAAAGTAGAAATATTTTATTAAAAATAATAGAAAATTAGTAAAAAGATGTTACAAATTGAAAGAAGAATATACTACTACATACATTATAAATTAGAGTATAAAATGAATATATGTACACTTTACAAATAATTGTTATTATTAGTTGATTTCATAAGTGGTCCTTATCAATATTAATCTCATTATTATTTTATAAATTTTTCTAATCGTCCTGGAATGAAATTACAAATATTTCCAAATCTTTGTTTTTATACTAATCATATTTATTTTATAAGGCACCACTAATAAGAATGTTTTTGTAACTTGTGTCTTTCCACTACTTTAAATTGCTAAATCTTTTAAACTTTTCATTTGATCAACGTACATAGATATATAAATATTGGTCTTGTATTGTAAATTATATAATATTACATATATATATTTAGATATAAAAACACACGGAGTGCCTCTCATCTGTGATCTTCACTTGTTTTTCGCAACCACTTATATTCAACCGAATTATATAGCAATCCTTTGGACCAAAACAACCTACAAAAAGAAAAAAGAAAAAAACTGAGAAGAACAAAAAAAAAGAGAAGAAGTTTATTATAATGCACATACGCCTGCTTGCAAACACATCCCAGATATAGAACAAAATTTGTTTGTTCAAATATGAAACTACTAATGATGTAATTAAAGTTTTTTTCTTTAATTAATCTTCACTCAATTTAATTCCAATTATCTAGTTCTGTTCTCGTTTCTTTAAAACTTAAATTTATATAAAAAAAAAATGCAAATAAATAAAACTTAATAATAAGAAGGATGGGTATAAAAGAGATATATATATATATACACAATAAAATGAGAATGTTTTAATGTTGTTATAAAGCAAGATCAGAAAGCCGAAATTGGACCAAAGCTTGATAAGAATAAAACAAAAAAGCTTATGAAGGAAGAAGAAGTAAAAAAATATAACAATGTATACTTTTTATTATATAATGAACTGTTAGGATGTTTTCGGAATGTTAATTTCTTTTCTGATCAACAATTTGAAAGTGCCCTATTGTATTATTGCATATTTCAATCATATACCGTAGAGGCCTACATTTTACGAACAAATCTTTTTTTTTTTTTTGAATAGAAAACGTTGCTTCCTGCAATTGAAGTACGTACATTTCTTTCTTTCTTTCTTTCTGATAATAATGTTTCGTTCCACTTAATATTTAACGAATTGTTTTCTACTTCGATACTTTTACGAATTTTTGTAGTGAATGCGTGCCTGTTGTTGTTCTTGACTTTTAGTGATCTACTTGATAATCGACTTGGTTAAGTTTATTGAATTGAAAATCTTGTAAAGATTCATTCCTTTCACTCTATTGTACATATTTATTAAACAAAAAAAAACTACATGATTACGATAATCAATAATTTACAACAAGAAAAAAACTTATTGAAAGAATGAGAAAAAAAAAATATATTAAAAACACACAAAAGAAATAATAATTAATTAATTAATAATAAATTAAGTAATAAACACTGCTTTTTTTGAATAGATGACTTAAATCTTTGGAAAATAATAAATTATTTCAATTGATCCTTTGTTTCATTTTCTAATCCCTTATTGGTCTGTAATCAGTAGCCTAGTATCCTCAACCACCACAAATTTTGTTGGTTTTTGGGAATCGAACCAACGACCTTTTGTATCAAAAATCTCTATTACCTACACTATACGAGGTGTTCCTGTATAACGTTATGAAAAATATGAATAAGTGTTCGATGTGTTGCCTAACTATTTCTAACCTCTACATCTATTTAATTCAAGTATAACCTAAAAGTTAGGTGAACTTCATCAACAATGTCTTTAGTCAATTTAAAACAGGTTTGAGATTATAATATTACATGTTAATTATATACTGTAACAATATATTTTCAGATTTTAACAAAATGTTCGTTACAACAAACGCAGCGGAGTTTACTTCACACCACAGCTATTTGCAACAGGGTACAATCGGGCAGATACAGAATTACTGCAAAGAAAGATTTTCCACTTACATACGAAATGGCAAATCCTCCTCATCAAATTGCCCATAGGAAATCGTGGAATTCATGGAACACATGTAAGAACATGCAAATAGTATTTGTAAATCTTATATCATGTTTGTAATTTTAGCTAATTTGCAAGGAGGTTTAAGATCATCTGAGACAGCCGTCGAAGATATGTTCATTAGGAAGTTTATGTTGGGCACATGGCATGGATTGTTCGTATCTGAAATTATTGTTAAGAGGCAACACAACATGATCAGAGTTGCTGGTATCATCAGACAATCCATCAGTCCAAGGAAGGTGTATTTCTTAATTGGATACTCTGAAGAGTTACTTAGTTATTGGTTGCAATGTCCAACTAAAATTGAATTACAAACTGTGGCTGATAGGAAAGATGTTATTTTCAAATATATTTAATTGTAATGTAATTAGTAAATAAAAAATTAGAAAACTAATTGTATATTTTATGCATTATTACATTCAAATAAAATGTTTTAAAGAAACTAAAGTTACATAAGCAATTAAAAATATAAAACTAATTAAGACAAACAAACATAATGAATGTAAAAAGACTAATAAGTTTGAAGAAGTAATTCCAGTTAAAGCAAAGGAAAACATAATTACTTTTCCTTTTTGTAATTAATTGAAAAAAAAAATAGGAGGGATTTACTGAAAAGAATAAATGTAAACTAATTTTTTGTAGTTTATATTGAGCATTTATACACAAACAACCCTGTATTAATTAAATAGACATTTTATTCAATAAATATAACTACTATAATTTACTTCAAGAGTATTTAGGCACTTTTTTTTTGTTTCAACAATTAGAACAACATTTTATGTACATTATTCATATTATTAAGAATTAATAAATACTTCCTATTATAAATAATAATTAATAATCCATAATATTGTATGCACTGATTTGTGTACATTATGTATACTAATCTATTTTTATATAATGTATATATGTTTGTTGTTTAAATATTTAGATAAAAGGTCTTATCACAAACATGGTTTTCATTATATTTTATAAGCATAAACGAATACTTAATTCAGTAATAATACAATTAACAATTGATATAATTCATGATTTATAAAATCCACATAAAAAAAAAGAAACCATCCATCTGCATACACGGATTGCGTGAACAATTTCTAAATAAGATTTACAAATGTCTTTTAACTGCGTCAATTTGGTCCAACAGAAACTTACAAACTAAAACATTAATTAATTATGTTGTGGGTAAATGCAAAATTTTAAATTTCCCTTGGAGCTATTTGATCCCAAACTAATGTTAAATGTATATATGTATATAGTTGTGAACTGATAAGAGACTAGAATTATTAGCACCATGATAACACGCAAATATATTTGCTTCCCAAAATCTTTGGTTAGATAAAGTTCAGGGTGGATTTGAGTCGCCTTCGATTCCAGGACTTGACAAATTTGATTCCAATTCCGGTTCAAGGGACAGCGGTTCTTCACCTTCGGGTCTTTCCGCTCCCTCTTGTCCTTCGGATACGTTGCCTGGCAGATAGTCCTTCCAGCTTCTGAATAAGTACCTGGTAAACTTCCGAAGTTGCCTGAATTTGCAGTACGTCGCCCCTTCGGCAGATTCCAGTTGCTGAGTTTGAATCAAGAATCCTTTCTCCTTGAAAGTCTGTTCTAGCTTTTCGCGTTGCAATGATTTTCGTGACTTTCTTTTCTTTGTCCTGGGCGTGGTTTCCGAAGAGATGGAAGGCGTGGGCTGCTGAATTTCCGGATTCATCATGAATTCTTTTCCCGCAAATTCGGTTGGCGATGTGGGATATATTTTCTCGCCGCTCGCTTGAAGGAAAGCGCCTGTGCTAGAACATTGAGCGTTGTTTATTCGTTGCTGCAGAGTTTCTCTCGGGAAGAATTCGTAGCCGCGCATACTTTTATCGCCTGTTCCACTGTAGTAACAGAAATTACCACCAGAATCCACTGAAAGCATCTTTTTCTCCTGTAAGCTAGGCTTCGCGCCACCTGTAAATTTAAATTTGCATATAGACACTTCTGTAGCTGGATTATTGGGATTTTCCGTTGGAATTGGTGGAATAAATATCGCACTTCGCTTTCTCTTCGCTGGTGTCTTATCAGTACTGGTGGCATTACGTTTCGTTTTCGTCTCCGGTTTTTCCTCGTCTTCGCTGGTCTCCGATTTTCTGGGTTTTGTTTTTGGAACTATTTTTCGAAAGTGTTGGGCTTCTTGTGGAGGCGTTTGATTGTTATTGTTGTTGTTGTTGCTGTTATTATTATTGGCTGCCATTTTTTGGTAATATAGAAGTTGTTGTTGAAGTGCCATTGGATGTATAAAAATACTAGCGTTCGGCCAATAAACGGGACCATTTTCAGGTAATTTTATGGAGTCCGGTGAGAGAACAGGTGGGTGCGATGGATCCGGAAATTTAAAGTCTTTAATCGAGGCAGGTGATGGAGTTTCGTGCACAAATTCAACGTCGTCGTCGCTTTGGGGCTCAGACTTAACTTCAATAATATCAGGCTTATCTAATAACCGTATATTCAATTGATCCATATCGCGGATACACAGATTAAGTGGTTCATTCTGATGAAGGGCTTTTTTCTTAGTGGCTAAAACTTCCTTTTGTCGCTTAGATTCTTGGGTCAGTCTTTTTTCTAGTAAACTGCTTATAATTCGATTTTGTACATCGCTCCTGTTGAAATTGTCTGTGACAGTTTCGGGGAGCTTCGGCTCTATCTTTTTCACCGGATCTTTATTAATAATGCTCTTGGCGTTCGGTGTTCCTGGAAATATAGTGCCATAATTCTTGTAAATCAAATGGCAAATATCGGCCTTTTTAGGCTTCCTCCCTCTTCTCGGTTTGGAATTATCTAAAGTCATTTCACCCATGTAGGGCAGATCCTGGTACTTCACTATCCTGCTGGCATTTGGAGGCGTGTTGGCTGGTTTGGAATGCTGCTCCGACGCCTGGTTGACGTGCAACTTCTTCTGGATTTCGTTTTGCATCAGGGTAATCCTCTGTAACCAAGATTGGATGGACTCGTTCGGCTCTTGGGCTTTCTCCTCGTCTGTATCTGTGGACGGTGGCGAATCAGGCACCATCTTCTCGACTTCCGTCCCTAAACCGTTCAATTTATGTTGTCCAGAAGGAGAGCCTCTATAGAAAACAAAATAATTGGATTATTTTAATTGAAAAAAACATGGTCCACTTATTCAAACTCACTTTAACTCTTCAATAGATGCTCCGCTTAATATTAGTTTATCTATAGAAGTGTCAGAGAAAGTCATGCCTGTTGTTTCCGCTTTGAAGCTTACTTCCTGTTGTTCCTCGGACTGCATCTTTCTTTCTGCAACAATTATCGTTATTAATTTAAAATATTTCGTAATCTGCAGTAGAGTAATGGCAACTTAATGGTAGAAACGTGTAACAGTAAAAGAGAGAACTGATATATGTCACGCGAATTATTAATAGTTTCAATCCTTCCGAAACAAATAATTAATGTTTATAAGTTGATGTATAAATTGCAAAAGAGTGGAATTTTGTTTAGTATTACTTGAAATAAACTTAAGTCAATTAAATAAACTGGTGTATGTGAATGAAATGATTCCGTTATTCCGGAAGCAGATTTGTGGGTAAAGAGAAATATATCGATGATGACTTACATCATTTGGTATATTCACGAAACACCATCACCAACACCTTTTGGTCACAGTTGGGTTACTTTGATTGGCACATGATGATGGGACACTACGACAGAACGCGGATAAGGTTTGGAACGAGCTTTTGGAAATGTATGGACAACGAATTCGAGGTAATTTTTGGCTCTTAGTCGCAATACGTTGTGTAGCGGCGCCGTAGAATTCGTATACGAGCGGTTATCCGTAGAAGGCTCGGAGCGTTCGGAAATAGCGTCCCGACGCCCTCTCCACTTACTCTATAGGAAGGTATATGCTGTTTTAGGCGCTTGCTGTAACACGAGATAGTACCATATTTAGTATTGGGCATGTCCGAAGTTCTATTATTAAACTTTGCGGCGCGTTCCCGCAATAACGCATTCGGAAAGGAAATATTCGTAAAGAAGCGAAAAACGGGAAGGCGTCCGCGCCGCACCGCACCGGCAACTGGAGATTACTTGATTTATTTTTACGCGCCATAGTATTTCGGCCGACAATTGGGTTGTACTTCTCGATTCACCAATGAATGAATGAATTTCCTCCGTTGCAATTCAACTGTTCCTCGATCCGAATGCACTGCCAAAAAATCAATTCCACAAATTTAATAATAAATGCTGATTCGAAATTTGCTATTAACTAAATGACAAACCGTAGACCTTAATGAAGACACCGGAATACATAGCTCTTCCACCCGTCACAATACACGCTTCAATAATATTCTGCATGATGATGCTATAAACAATATTGTGTGTGTGTTCGTGTATAAGGTCAGTTCCAACAAGAATAATTTATATTATTAAGTTTTAACTAAAGGTCAAAGTTATTTGCTGGGCGTATAACGGATACAAAACAATTGTCGCTTTACGTGCTTCGTGCGTTCATTTAAAACGTAAAATCTTGCGTAGATCGCCGGCAACGAAAAACAAATAAAAACAAACGTTTCTTACACAAATATTCCCATTGTAAACACGATCTTAAATAACGCAACAATTATATACCCTTAGGTGCACAAAATTGCATTATAACATTTCTAAATAATAGAAAGTATAAACAATAATTTTACAGATCTGTCTATAAGAATAAACACTACTTTATACCGGATAAAATTAGTATACGTATTTTTATATTTACATGATATATAAAACTTTGATTTTTTTAATTAATTTTTATATAATCATAAATTTTTAATAAAATTTGTTTAAATCTTAATTTTACAATGATAACCAAAGAACTATCGACCGTTGTTTTTAAGAAACAAAATAAAAATGACAACAAATCTGTATACAAAAATTATAAAACTTGAAACATGTTAGTTAAAAACTTTAAGAGTAAATAGTTTAGGAATTAATGTATTTTTTTTTCAGACAAAATATTGAAAGTTTTAAAAGTAAACGTTATTATTGATTGATCGATGTGGTATATGTATATATACTCATAAATGATTTTATCTGAGGTTATTCAATAAGGTTGCACATTTTTATGACCGCAACGCCTGTGCACGTCCACATCGTACACTTTTCACTCGCTGCGTTACACAGAAATTATGAATAAATTAAAGTTACGGGTAAGTGGATTTCAATAAATGCATTTTCTCGGTGTGCATAGGTGGCGATTTAATTATTTGATAGTGGATCGATTGAAAACCGTTCCACTTTAGAAATTAGCCACGGTCTGGGGGCCGGCTGTAAATTGTAAAGGATTTAGTTGTAAATGTCGATTGGAAAGCAATTATCAAAGTTAAATTATGGCCGTCGAACGTGGCAGAAATTCCATTCTTTATATGTGGATTATGTTCATGTGTTCGATCGAGTATGAGAGCTCCACTCAGGCCGTGGGCGTACGAAATTATAGCAGTTATGCTAATGTGATAAGATACTGGACACTGAATTATTTATTATGTATTATTGCTATTACAATTTAACTTACTTGCATGAGCACTGTCCAAAAGAGCGCAATTCATAGCGACACTATTTTGAAACGAAACAAAAAAAGTTAAACAATAGTAAAGAAAAAGTGTCTCTAATACAACATAATTCATATTAACTGTTGCTTTTCAGATATGATTAATATTGTATTATTTAAATTACGTTACATTACTTTAACATGTAAATTGAAAATTATTGAAAATCCAATTTATTTTATCAGTGTTCCTCATTTACATGAATTATTTTTGTTAATTTGCAAATTTTTTAAAATAATTTAAATTGTTAAATGTTAACAATTGTATGTTTTGTGTTTGTTACAGAATAGAATTGTAAGCCTTGAAGAAAATTAAAATATTTTATAATAACAGCTGCACGAACAGCGAGTAGGTAGACGTTACTATTTATTATTTTTTTTGCATACATAAAATCAATTACTTGTCCCAAAGAACATGCTGATCCGTATATTTTTGTCACTTGTAAATTAGTAATTTATGTATGTTTATTTTTATCTGGCAGGAAGATCATGCGACGTTATTATTTTTGTATTGAGTAAATCACTGCTTTTTCGAATGTTAAATTTCATTTTTTTACAGTCGAATGGATGAAACCACAATAATGTTTGAATACTCTCTATATTTCCCAAATATCCACCTTTCATAAGCATCTTTTATATTCATTCTATGTATTATAGTTTTCGAGAAAATCAATGAAATGTGAAAACACTTTTTCGAACGTTATTTTTTCAATTTTTCAACTTTGAACGTGAATTACAGCTATATGGATAAGAGAACATTAATATGTCTATATTTGCTACATTCCCCAAACATTCAGCTTTCATACGCATTTTTTGGATTCATTCTATTTATTATAGTTTTTGAGAAAATCAATAAAATGTGAAAACTCTGCTTTTCGTATGTTATTTTTTCAATTTTTTAAATTTGAACGCGAATTACAGCAATATCGATAAAAGCACAGTAATATATCAATACTTGCTACATTTCCCAAATATTGAGCTTTCATATGCATCTTTTGGATTCATTTTATCTATTATAGTTTTTGAGAAAATCAATGAAATGTGTAAACTCTGCTTTTTCGAACGTTATTTTTTCAAGTTTTCAACTTTGAACGCGAATTACACCAATATGGATAAGAGCACAGTAATATATCACTACTTGATACATTCCCCAAATATTCAGCTTTCATATGCATCTTTTGGATTCAATTTATGTATTATAGTTTTAGAGAAAATCAATGAAATGTGAAAACACTGCTTTTTCGAACGTTATTTTTTCAATTTTTCAACTTTGAACGCGAATCTATTATAGTTTCCGAGAAAACCACTGCTTTTTCGTATGTTAATTTTTCATTTGGAATTTGAGAGTGAATTACAGCAAAATGGATTAAATTTAAATCCGACGCTTTCGCCGAGACACATAAACTTGATGACTACAAATTTTGAGTTAAATTTATATTTATGATCACACTTTAATATAGAATTACTGCTCTGAATGCAAATATTATAATAGACCTTCAAACCAAATAACAACTTAATTGTTACTCTCTAATTGGATCTAAATTAGAGATTTGTAATCATATATTGTATTTCATATAATATTTATTGAAACAATCAAATATAAATCAGTAATAAATTATTAAATATATTTTAATTATAATGTTTATTATTGCAATAGCTAAAGAATAGTAAACAAAGTAATTAAAGGGTTCTTGACTATACGTTTTGTCCTATATTTGAAATTTACTGAAATGTAGAAGTAAGAATATATCTTTAGTACATCGAATATAGCTATGATGATAAAAATCGTATACAAAGAGAGAGATAAACTGAAACTAGCTAAACAAAATGGTAGGTTTTTTTAGAACGGAACGACTGTGTGAGTAATCAAAGCAATTTTCCGTCGTAAAACAAGAAAAATATTGAAAATCCAGAAATAAAAGTACATCGTTGCCAGCAAAAACTTATGCAATTCTAATAAATATATTCGCACGCATTTTTACATTTCGTTTTGTTTTGCATGAACTGGGAAACAAAACACACAAGAAAAAAGGAAAAATTTTATTTTTTTCTCCTTTAAATATAAACATTGTCCGGCCATCCATGGCGAGAAATTTACGAGAGCCGGAGCAACTTTATAAATAGCGGCGCGCTTATGTCCAGTTCTAGGATATATTTAAAACGACCAACAAAATTACAATTACATCGGCTCTAAATACTATTTCGAATACACAATCGTCGGAATGCTATTTACCACTCTAATAGTTTCAACACCATCCGATGCGGACGATGACGCTAATTTTAGATTCCCGGACGAAAATGCACAGGTAATAATAATAATAATGATGGGGCTCATTGTGCGAGATGATGCAATGTTTGCGTGCTAAAGTCCAGTTGTGTGTGTGTGTGCGGAATTTTAGTGAAAAGTCAATAAAACGGATAATGTAAACAGACTACTGTGAGTCCATTTACTCTCCATTGGAAAAGAAAAATGTAGAATTTGTTTAGAACACATTTACATATGGAAATTATTTCACCACATTATATGTAGATCAATGAATAGATAAGACGTCCACGAGTACTACTTTGTGCATAGTTCCTTATCGCAACGTGTATTTTCTATTAAATAATAATCTTTATTACTGAAATCTTGAGTCACGGCCTTCTATTCACTGAAGCACATTATCTGGACTTATTAATGGACTATTTATATATTAATTATATGTAGTATTCATATGATCTTTCTATCTAAATAGGTTATCCTAAATATTATGCTTGATATGCAATTATCTTTATTAATTCGCGAAAGTATTACTCGTTCCTATATATTTCCTACTTTCAGAAATACTAAATTATTAAAGAAAGTTAACAAATTATGTTAAGTAATAAAGTTACAAACATTTTAAGAAAATTAGGGCAACTCAAACTAAAGAGGACGACTAGTAAGTCTGCAATGTTTTCTTAATAAAAGTGTTTCATAATTTGAAAATATTATATAATATCAAAACTTGGCTACTTTCGTTACATTAAGGAACTCGTGTTATCACAGAATTAGCATCCCATTTGATCATCGAGTATAAATTTATTAATATTAACTAATTATGATTGAAATAAATGGAACTTCATATTTCTAAATGTTTAGAAAGAAGTGAAAACACGAAGTACGGTATTTGTACGCCGCTTTTGTCATTGGTTATTTCATATTATCTATTGTTCCTATTGGGATCCAAGCGGACAAAAGTTCAACATGTTACACGCTTCGTTCGCCCGCGCCTCAACTTTACCATTTGAAGACTGTTTCCACCGCGTATGGTCTTTCGGAAAGGAAAATATGCGATGCCAGTTTATCCAGAAATGTGCACAGAAAAAAGCCCACGACAACATCATCTTATTCCGCGTAATTTAATTGCCACATTTATCTCATTCACCAATGATGAATTGTCATGTCTTATTCCAGATATATCAATTAGTACCAATATACTATAGTAATTAGTTGACGAGATCCGGTTTCAGCTGCATTCTGTAATCAGGATCAACTCGAAGTTTTTAGATGTAAATAAATTATAAGTAAATGTGCATTCTAATTACTTACCTTCTCAATTATTATTGTAATTTTAGCAATCATTTATTATGGATAGCTTCCGTTAATTGGTTAACGTTTTGCATTCTTTACACACTTTGGCCTGCTTTCCAAGCCAGCTTTGCTTTGCTTTGCCACCTATTCCAATTAATTTCAATTACTGAATACGTTTAATTATCGTCTTACCATAACACAATAATCAATTGCTTCGGAAGCAATCGAGCGTGAGCTTTCTGAAATGGATTTGTTTATCCATTCTTAAAATTATTGAACTTTCGCCGTTTGATCGCTACTAAGAAAATCAAACAATAAGCTATTTACTTGGCAGAATGAGGCAATAGATAAAAGGAGTGAATCAGTGGAGATGATTACCATCTAATTTTTGTTCATATAATAAATTAATTAAAATTATAATTACTTTTCAATAGTCTTATAGTAATTATATACGTACATCATCGTGTTGATCTGAGCATGCATAAATAATTAGTGTAAACCCGATTTCGCCGTGGCACGAAATAATGAAACGGATGATTGATGAGATCATTAAACATACTACCTACAGTCGATTTAGAAAATCATACGCAGAGTCATTAGGTTTTACGTCCTTTTTTTCTACTAGTAAAGAAAAGACATTGCAGAATATTAAAACTTGCTTTCCATCATAAGTTTGAACTTAAATATAAGTACGGTCGTTAGATTTTGCTACATGGCTATAATTTTAAATCAATAACTAACTAACATTTACATATACCAAATACGATAAATAATTTACCTTTTTCTTTACCGTGGGTGTTAAAATTTTAACATGTTTAATTACATAACACATAATATGTAGCTGAAGTTTCTTTTATAGAAAGAGTAAATAAATCTTTATTCTATTTGCATAGTTATATAAACACAATTTCCAAAATTTCACTTCGGATTAAAAACCAATACCAATCAGAATAAACTATGTTAAGGTTCTAGCAACAAATCAAATAATTTATAGATGTTATAAATGTTTTACTAATTAATTACTGTTGTAGTTAATTGTAATTATTGAAAAATCTGTTAGGTCATTATTCAACATATCATTTGATCAAATATCAAATAGTTCAATACTCAATCCTAAATTATATACTTATAAGAAATACATGTTGTAATTGACACTGTTTCGTTAATACAAGACACTTAATAGTACGAATTTCCGTTTTTAGTTCAATTTTCTTGCAAAATCATTTTCGAAATATCAAAATAAGTTTAACTATTAAAAAAAAATGCGTACAAAATATTTATTATAATTAATTACTGTGTATTTCTCAATTCCTTATAATATATTAATTTATTCATACATGAAGATCTACATTATTAATTGGCAATTAATTATATTTTAACGATACACATTAATTAATTAATTACCTGGATAAATCTATTATGCATTATTATTTTAATAGATTTTTACGCAAATGTAATATGAAACTGTATAAAAAATGTATATGCTAATATTTTATGGATAAATCATAGTAGGAACAAAAAAAAAACAAGAACCTGCTGATTCAATTGTTCTGCAAGAGTCAACTTCCTGAGTTTTGGAATCCTGCGCCATTCGTACCAGGATGGAACTGGTCTATAATTAAATTCGAATTGCAAAAAAGCAACACAATTGAAGGCGCGAAATTTATTGTGTAGAAAAATTCGAACGTACGTACCTCCAAGTAATCCATCCTCGAAGTAATATCGATATGTCATCAAGTCATTCTGATGTCACTCACTGCTTTTGTCGATGTGTCGTAATAAGTAAGTAAAAAGAGTTATATGACGATGTGCGATTGCCAGCAAAAGAACGTACAAAAAATGTAATTTACACTGTTCAAGTTGGATGACGATTGATTCACGATCCCGCCATCACAGAAATGCGCGCTCGCGTTCGTAAATTGAAAATTTTCGCGACCGTAGATGAAAATTTGCGGCGGAAAAACTTTGTTTTGCCCCCTATTCGGGATTTACGTAAGCCGCAACGCCTATTCAGATCGCCTTTTCAACGTCGCAACGCTTAGAACGTCCGGATTCTGTTGCAGGTCTCATTTTACTGCATTAATCAAGCAAATACTTGTGTTGGTGTGTAGGTTTTCATTCAGGGCGGGCGAGCGGCGGATTCATTCAATTCCACCACGCATCTCAACTTGCTCTTGGTCTCCTCTCGTTCTCTCTCATCCTCACGGCTCGACCCAAAAAAAGATTTGGCTTAATTTAAACACTTCACGAATTTACAAGCAAAATTTCAATCGCCTTATTTATTCATTTATTTTTAACTAATTGGTTTTCTATTTTTATTCACTCTGAGAATTTATATATTTAATATTTCATAAAAATGAAATTTATTAATTATCAATAGTTTTTTTTAATCTTCTAATTTAAAGTATTTTTAATAAATTTGAAACAAAACACACAATTTTTCGACGCCTAATTTTTATTACTTTTTGATCTATCGATAATGCAGGTGTTTAAAACTCACAAATTAAATTGTTTTTAACGTTTGAGATTCGCAGGTGCAACTGATTAATCGTTTCGTCTTAGATCGGACGTTTTCGCTTAATTGTTATTGCTTTCTTATCTATCAATTGTGCAGGTGTTCAAAACGCACAAATTAGATTGTTTTTAACGTTTGAGTTTTGCAGGTGCTCTGATTCATCATTTCGTCGTAGATCGGGCGTTTTCGCCTAATTTTGATTGCTTTCTTATCTATCAATTATGCAGGTGTTTAAAACGTACAAATTAGATTGTTTTTAACGTTTGAGATTCGCAGGTACAACTGATTCATCGTTTCGTCTTAGATCGGGCGTTTTCGCTTAATTGTTATTGTTTTCTTATCTATCAATTATGCAGGTGTTCAAAACGTACAAATTAGATTATTTTAACGTTTGAGATTTGCAGGTGCAACTGATTCATCGTTTCGTCTTAGATCGGGCGATTTCGCTTAATTTTTATTGCTTTCTTATCTATTAATTGTGCAGGTGTTCAAAACGTACAAATTAGATTGTTTTTAACATTTGAGATTCGCAGGTTTGAGATTTTGTTGTAAGTCGGGCGTTTTCGCTTATTTTTTATTGATTTTTTATCTATCAATTATGCAGGTGCTCAAAACGCACAAATTAGTTTGTTTTTAACATTTGAGATTCGCAGGTGAATATGATTCGCACGTAGATCGAGCGTTTTCGCTTAATTGTTATTGCTTTCTTACCTACCAATTATACAGGTGTAGAAAACGCAGAAATGAAATTGTTTTTAATGTTTGAGTTTCGCAGGTGCAACTAATTCATTGTTTTGTCTTAGATCGAACGTTTTCGCTTAATTTTTATTGCTTTATTATCTATCATTTATGCAGGTGTTCAAAACGTATAAATTAGATTGTTTCTAACGTTTGAGATTCACAGGTGCTATGATTCATCGTTTCGTTGTAGATCGGGCATTTTCGCTTAATTTTTATTACTTTCTTATCTATTTATTATGCAGGTGTTCAAAACGTACAAATTAGATTGTTTTTAACGTTTGAGTTTTGCAGGTTTGAGATTTTGTCGTAGATCGGGCGTTTCCTCTTAATTTTTATTGCTTTATTATCTATCAATTATGCAGGTTTTCAAAACGCACAAATTAAATTGTTTATAACGTTTGAGATTCGCAGGTGCATATTCATCGTTTCGTCGTAGATCGGACGTTTTCGCTTAATTTTTATTACTTTCTTATCAATTTATTATGCAGGTGTTCAAAACGTACAAATTAGATTGTTTATAACGTTTGAGATTCTCAGGTTTGAGATTTCGTCATAGATCGGGCGTTTGCGCTTAATTTTTATTGCTTTCTATCTATCAATTATGCATGTTTTCAAAACGCAAAAATTAAATTGTTTATAACGTTGTAACGTGGTAAAATCGACAACGCTGCAAGTGCGCTCCACGTTGCAACTATGTTTCAAAAATTCGGAGAGACCGCAGCGAACCGCGAAAGAAGACGGTTGAGGTCTCCAGTTTAAGAAGATATTCTGATATATTTGTAATCTCCAAGAGGACGGTGTTGGCGCTCTAGAGAAGCTAAGGCCCACCGTCGGAGAAGAAGTTGCTGATCTGGAAGCAGTTGTTAGAGTTCTTCCTCTCTATAAAAAGGAAGTGGCGCCCTGAACCTTCCCACGTCACGGACTCACGCCCTAGCGGGTTGAAGATTGGTATATCTTGTATTTTTTATGTACACGAGTGTTATCGTGTTACAACGTTTGATATTCACAGGTGCAACTGATTCATCCTTTCGTCTTAGATCGGGCGTTTTCGCTTAATTGTTATTGCTTTCTTATCTATCAATTATGCAGGTGTTCAAAACGTATAAATTAGATTGTTTTTAACGTTTGAGATTCGCAGGTGCATCTGATTCATCATTTCGTCGTTGATCGGGCGTTTTCGCTTAATTTGTATTACTTTCTTATCTATTAATTATGCAGGTGTTCAAAACGTATAAATTAGTTTGTTTTTAACGTTTGAGATTTGCAGGTTCAACTGATTCATCGTTTCATTTTAGATCGGACGCTTTCGCTTAATTTTTATTACTTTCTTATCTATTAATTAATGTTCAAAACGTACAAATTAGATTGTTTTTAACATTTGAGATTCGCAGGTTTGAGATTTTATTGTAGATCGGGCGTTTTCGGTTAATTTTTATTGATTTTTTATCTATCAATTATGAAGGTATTCAAAACGTATAAATTAGTTTGTTTTTAACGTTTGAGATTCGCATGTGCAGCTAATTCATCGTTTCGTCGTAGATCGGGCGTTTTCGCTTATTTTGATTACTTTCTTATCTATCAATTATGCAGGTGTTTAAAACGTACAAATTAGATTGTTTTTAACGTTTGAGATTCGCAGGTGCAACTCATTCATCGTTTCGTCTTAGATCGTGCGTTTTCGCTTAATTTTGATTGCTTTCTTATCTATCAATTATGCAGGTGTACAAAACGCACTCATTTTATTGACCATATTTCTGAACGTTTGGGATCCGCTGATTCATCGCAATGCCAATTTCTATTGCTTTTTATCGAATATGAAAATGTGTTACCATTTTCACGTTTATTAAAATTTACATATTATTAAAAAATATGTTAAATTTAATTATTTTCATTAATTTATATTAATTTTTTTTTGTTATCTTCAGAGTTTTTGTGCCTTAATATAATAAAACATTAATAAATATTGCAAAATTAGTTTTGTTATATTTGCTTTATTGTATATTTCATTCTTCTTCTTCCTCCTCTTCCTCCTCCTCTTCGTCATCATAGTCGTTATTTATAAATAATCTTATAAATTGGACGGTGATTGGTATAAATGAACACAAGTTGAAAACGTGTACAATGTTCCGAATAAAAATGTGCGTCAGCTTATAATCAGTGATATCAATAACTGTCTCTGACAATGAAGTTAGTTTCATTATACGCGATAATCTGTTCGATGTGTGTAGTCCAAGGAATCCCGGGAAATACTGCAAGACAGATGAAGCCTTAAACAAAAAAAAAATATAAATATATATACGACATATCGAATGCATTGAATGATTAAGTACGAACCGGCAATTTCCTGTATCTATCCAGAATCATAGATATGAACGAGACGTCGATGAGCATTATTGTTAAAGTTATCAGGAGCCACGGAAACATCGTCAGCACCAGTAAATAGAGGTGCCTCAAAAATACACTTACTGAAAAACCATTAATAATCTCAAAGATACCAAACGAACTTTTAATTCAAATTACCTAATAGAAGTACTCCGCATATTGCCCAACAAATGTTCATGACTAACCATATCACTAACACTAGACTAAAATCATTGCCTTTGTAGTTCGTACTAGCAACAAGCGCATTATCAATCAACGTTTTATTATTGCATTGGTATACTGAAAAAAGAAGCAAACAAACAAATAACAACATCATATCAATCTTGTTTTGAATAGTCTACGTTTGTAAGCCCTATCTTCTTTATTGTGATTGTAGATTATCAATTTACTGCAATTTGATATAAGTGGGAAATACCATTTGAGAATCAAAGAACTGTGCACTATTGAGAATATCTAAAAAGTAAATGAAAAATAATTGATTCAATGATTATATAAGTAATTCAAACCAGAGTGAATGCAGCTGCACAGAAGCGACGAGCAAATAACCATTTACATATAAAGCACATTACTAATATGAAACATACATTTTTTAAATAATAATTGACAAATTGTCAGTCACCATTGTCAGTTTAATTTGTATATTATATCGTCCTCTAGAGGTCACTGTATTTTATTTGACGGCCTCTTATTCTTCCTTCCTTCCAGAATATGAAGATTTATCCGAACTCTCTACCTAAGAAAAATATAAGTTCAAAAGCCCAAAAACTATAACGGTGTTAATAATCATTTAAAAATCTTCATACTCATATAATTTATAAAATATATTTGTGGCTCGTCAAAAAATTACAAGTTGTGTACCACTGGAATAGATACTTTGAAATGTTTAATCTAATGAATCATCATGTTTATTATTTGTACAGAAAACTAACTTGGTTATTCTCATAGAAATGACAACCCAGAATGGAAAATGAACCAGATGTGCAATATTCCTGAAGAAGATGTTGGAAAGCTTAATCCCTGTCAAATCGACAATCTCCTTGTTGGCTTGCGTATATATAGTCACTCGATCAAGTCTATCGCTATGATGAAGGCCAATCAGCTCCCCAAAATACTGTGTGGCAATTTTATCCTGAAAGCAATATAATTGAAACGATGATCAATACAAAATACATTAAACTCAATTACCGGCAAATAAATGTATTTATGAATGATTGTGGCCAAGAACATTACATCGCACAGTACCGTTATCAAAGTGACTATGACCCATGGAAGCACTGTAGCAGCAATGAATACAACGGTCTTCATGCAAAGGCTTACTGAAAAATACATAATGAAACATGATGAATTATTCAATGTTACAGTAATAAATACTTAGAAGTAAAAATGCGGTTATCATCCAGCTGATGTTTAGAGCAAGCCAAAGGCATAAAATGACAGTGAAATCGTTCAGATCGTCCCACGACATCCCCACCAATGCGTTATCGACTAAACTTTTATTGTCGCAAAAATAAACTGAAAACAGTAAGTGTTCAATTATATGTTTGTTGGTGAGTAACAAGTTTGCAATACTTTTCATGTCTCCGTCCACCATCGAAATATGGTAAATAATGAAGTCACTGCAATTTTCCGTGTATTCAAAATAACGGTCCACAATTATAACGGTGTGACCAATGGCTATAGTCTAAAATTATATAATATGTACATTAATATGTAATTACGTGTTAACTGATTTAACTTACTATTGTTAATAGGGACGCAAGAAATCGTTGCCCGCAGATCCATTTGCAAACCGTTAAACAACACATCTGGTTCTAATTTAAACTAAAATACCAAATTAAAAAAAAACGTGACATAATAACTGTCATATAAATGTATGTACAATAATTCAAACTCTCAATAGCATACTAATTGGTAATTAATCTTCCATAAAATTAATTTTCAATTTTGGTTAATTTTAAGAATTGATTTGATATTATTTTGTTGTTTAAAGAAAATGATGGATTTGTATAGTAAATATATTAATTCAACTTTTTTTTTGTGTAAGAACTAAACAGAATATTCTAAGATTGCATTTATTAAAATCATTAATTAGTTAAAATCAAAAGAATAGATGAATTCCTAATAATAACAAAGAAATAGAAAATAATATCTATTATAAAAGAATCAAGTGTGCATGTACGTTGCTACATTTTTTTTTTCAATCAATATTTTTGATAGTTAACGAAAATGTTGAAATTCCTCTCGAAGTTCAGTTTAAGTTGCAAGCTCTTCGTGATATCAATAATAACAATTGTAAGATACAAAGATTTGTTATTTTTTTTCATAATACATAATTCTATATTCAGGCTGAAGGGATTTACCAAATCGTTCTTATAACCAAAGCTTCAGTCAAATATAAACATGAAGATATGTGTACTCATAAATACGAGAAATTCCAGGATGCAGTTACGCACTTTGCCTATTTTTACAGTATGTCCTATTTGTAATACAAGAAGTAATAAGATAGATTAAAATATGTTTGTAGGAGTTTCAGAATGCGGAGACATTCGACTGAGATTCTTTTTAGAAAGCATATCGAGTCTAAACAATAATTTGAGAACGTTTCTGCAGAACGTTACAAAATTATCCCATAACCCGACTAAAATAGCAAATTTCACCTACGTATATTTTACAATTGCTACTATACTAGATATGTTCATGATATTATTCAATATACCTATATTTAGTAAGTATTTTGGAATAATTATGTTCTTTAGTTTACCTAATTGTTTTATTTAGCGGCCAGCTTTTGCACCGAGCAAATAAACCTTTGCAAACAAATTTTTATACCCTGGGTGATTGTTATGACTGCGATAATTACTTTTGATCTAATTACGATTCCTATTATTTTTAGGATATTGTACGGTAGCCAGGTAAGTTTCTGCTAAACTAATTGCACAGATTAATTAAGATTTATAAGTTGTCGTTGCAGTACGCTTCGAGGTGGGTCTTAATGCTGGGATTTAGTCATAAATACGTTGAGCGTTTCACTTTGAAGCACACCAAGTTCAATGCGGAGTTAGTGCATCACCTCACGAATTTTCCCCATCGACTTATGTACATATCGTTCAGACACATCGTCAGTTTACCTTTATTCATTTTATTCATGTTCATTATTTGCAAGGAATTGCATTATCATTATAAGCAGAGCAAAATGCGTAAAATGAATCAGATCACTTCAAACGTATAGATCACAGTATTTCCATGTTGTTGAATCCTCAAAGTTATGAATATGTTTATAATTATTTAATAAATTATATTGAATATTAAAATGTTTCTTTAGTCTTTGCAAACGTAATAGAAGCTGTAATGATGCCGTGGTGGAATTTCTGAGCGTCTTAAATCCATCTCTATGTTTACGCTATCCCGCTCTACAGAAATTCTGTGCAGAAGTCTGCGTGGAGCTGTCAAGTGTCCACGTGGGTGGACCAGTGTTTAAACTGTTTCCCCACCTACCACCATCTTCTTCTCTTTCGCACTAAGTGAAACATTCTAACAATCTCTACTAATACGAAAAGAATCTCGGAATCCGTCGACTTGTTCTCACACATCCACATGCATCACTAATTACAAACAAAAAAAATAAAATAAACTCGATAATCTTCGTGTAAGACGCATCAATTAATTCGTAAACTTTCAAACTTTTTGCCTCAAGAAAATTTCGCAAACCGACAAAAGTCTATGGATCTAGATCACTGAAACTGTTATGTATTTTGCATTGAAAAGGATAAGATACACAGTTTTGCCATTTAACTTGCTTATTTATTTATATAATCTTTTTTTTTTTTCGTTTCGTTGTTGTTGTTATTCGCATACGCCGCAATGCCTACATATATTCTATATATGATTGGTGAGTATGTAGGCTCAACTTATGGCAATATATTGGAATAATAAAAGTGCCGTTGGAAATTGGAAGGCGCACCTATATAGAAAAAAAAAATTCACAGCTTTCAAAATCTACATCACCAATTTCGTTTGCTACAATCGAGGAATTAGTCGTCTGCGTTGGTCATAATTCTGTATAGATGAGCGCAAGCTGTAGTCCCATAAAGGTTTCGTAATTGCTTGTCACATGTTTTATGAATTGAGTGTAGCTTCGCAGAGAAATAAAATAAAATGAATGAAACTGTGACCTTGCGGCGACTTGCAGCAATAACATAATTTTATTGTCCGCATGAACGGTCATACGCTGCGAGAGATATATGTCCAATTAAATTAAATTGTTAGAAATCCTCATTTCTTTTCTACCACTGGACACTTTTGATATATCTACACGCAGTTAACTTCTGTACATTTTGAAATTCTAAACATGATTCTTATTAAATTGTAAGATCTATTTAAAAGACAAGTGTTCCTAATTGCATATTTCTCTGTTTGTACACCATCAACAGCAACATTTATTATTTAAAAGTAATATGTTTACATACAGTAAATACTAAACAAGAAATATAAATTCATAATTTTTCTTTGCTCTCTTTTCTTTTCCTATTTAGTAATTTAAGTAAAAAAGAGAAGTCGAACACGTTATTAATTTGTTCGACTTACGAATTTTGATTCGAGTTTCAAAACTTCAATTGATATAAAGCTATTTAAGTGTGTGTAGTACAAATAATTGAATTTATGAAATAATCAAATATTCGTCCTATTATTATACTAAATATGCAATAATTATAACAAATTCGATGTTAATCCTAATAGAGTTTAAACCCAATTAAAAATAAACAGAGTAGTTCTAGAACTAAACTGTATAATTATTATTAATTACTAGTCGTTTAATAATTATTTGTCGCCGAAGGAAATAGTCTATTTCAATATTTTATTATAAATTCAAATTCGAGAAGAGGCGTATCTCTGGCTTCATATAACCATTTTTTTTTTATTATTATTAATAATTTGACAGTTATAAAATTTATCAGATTAATTTGAATTTGCGTGGTCGTTTCTTAATAATCTTGAATAATTATCATTGGCATCTGAGATTTAATTATATCATCCAATTTACCATATACATAAACATTTTTTGAATAACTGTCAATGCAAAAAAGGATTTCCTTGTAATATACTCTTCTGTACGATTATAATGCATGTTTAATTTTATTTTAGTTCAGAAAATAAACAATACTGTTCGATGTAGAAGAACATCGTTTTCTAATCAAACATCTTGTTCACAATCCATTATAATCCCTTCCTACATATTATTGCACAACTGTATATTTATTTTACAACAACTGATTTCTCTATCTCTTGCATAATAGAAAATTAATTATTTACCATTACTTTGCCATCAAATAACATGCATTTATTATATAGCGATGTGCTTAAGACAGCGTTTTCCAAACTGTGACGCGTGGACTAGTCTAAGGGGAGGCGCGAATATTAGTAGCAGTGAGCAATTTTCCAAATATCTGCTAAAGTTTAGATACATTCCTGTGCGCTTATCCATGTTGCTGTAATACGCGTTCAAAGTTGACAAATAGAAATTAGAACGTTCGAAAAAGCAGTGTTTTCACATTTCATTGATTTACTCGGAAACTATAATAGATAGAATGAATCCAATATATGCATATGAAAGCTGAATGTTTGGAGAATCCACAAAATATAGATACATTCCTGTGCTCTTATCCATATTGCTGTAATACGCGTTCTTTTTATGAAATAATGGGAGGCCTGTAAATAGGCTTAAATTGAACCGTCGTAAACCGAGATCTAACTGTACTTATTCCAATTATATTAGATCGATGAGGTCTATGATTTTTTTACCTATTAACCCCAAAATCTTCATAATTTTGGATATAATAGTGAATATATTTCATGTAGTAACGTAACGTATTTTTTTAATGAAAATTTTAGAGGAAATAAAATACAAATAACCGTCCAATCTTATTATATAACGTTAATAAATTAAGGTACGAATCACAAATGTTTATCTTGTTTCTATTCTTATCTTGTTTTATCATTTGTATAATAATGTAATAACAATTGTCGTTTAAATAATCCTCGTATGGTAACGAATCTTCACGAATTGACACGACAAATCAGCTGCAAGTGCGAGCGATAAACAAATTCTTATATGAAAACACGTCACATCTGCGATGCGATGATTCACAAAGGTTCTAAAACGTTTAAACAATCCTCGGGCACGAAATTGTGCTTATATTCTTTTTTAAATTATTTACTCAAACGATTCAAAATTTATGAATTTAGTTTTCTTCAGTTCATATACATAATTCTTAAAATTTATTTGACAGCAATTCAAATTTTCAATAACAATTATATTTTATACTTAATGAGTAAAATGAGTTAAATGTTCATATAAATAATAAGAAAAAAAAACACAATAATTGCGTGTTTGTAAATAGTTTGTAGTCATTCGTCTTCAGAAAGATATTTTAGTTGAAAGGATGTCTTGCGTGAGTGAAGGAGCCTTGTTGGAAAAGGAGCATAAAAGCTTTATGTAAAGGCTTTACACACGCGCCATAACTTAACTAGAAGAGGACGAGGCTCGCGGTAATAAGCAAGTCGTTGAGAGAGAGAGAAGAACACCCTTCAATCGTTTTCCTGCCTCCTGTCCACCTCCACCTCATCCTCCTGAAAAACGTTTTTTTGTTCTTCAACGTAAAAACAATGCACTCGCCTTACGCCCCCGCCAACAAAACAAAAGATAATTCCCTTTTGCGAAAACAAAAGATCGCGTTGATAAAGGGAGACAGTTGACGTTTGTCAAGTTGAAAGCTAAAAAGGGGACCGGAAGGAACAAAGTTACTACTACTATTATTATTAACATTTTTTTATTTCTTGTTTCTTCCGTGGAAAAAAAACGTAATTGAATCAAGAGAGAAATTGCGTATGCACGGTTACAGGACACGGACGACGCGTGCCGTCGAACAAATCGGATTTGATTCAGCAAATTAGGTTTCCTTTCTATTTTTTTTTATATATATATACTGCACATGGACACGTGTATACAGATAATAATTAACTGCGAAAACACCGCGCCAAACAATATGCTTCAGTTTTGGGTGAAGTGAGGGGGAACCCGAAGGACCATCATCCGGCTTAGCAATTGAAAGGGCCGTAACCGTAGAATAAGTACGGAAGGGTGGATTCATCCCCTCACTTACTACGATGACGGGTGTCAACTAATTGGGGATCACAAAAATCAAAACGCCACTATTTAATGGTCCATTCAACAGCATTTAGATATGCGTTTACAGAGGGTTGTGCATTTAACAAAAACAATAATGCATCTTTATTATTTTTTTGTTTATGGGAAAAAAATATATACTCATTCTAGTGTTAAAACAGGATTTTATTACTTAGAACTAAGTTTCAGTAAAGTTTTAACGTTATATCCTTATGCGGCCACTTTCTATGATTTTTTTTCCTGCGACTTATGGTATTTGCTTCTACCCCTGTGCAGGTCTTATGCTTTTGAAGCAAGCATCCATCCTTGCTGCAGCTCTCCGTGCCTTTTCCACCTTGTTTGTTTGCTCTGTCGTGTCCCAGAGATGGTTTTCTGGACACTGTGAGATATCTTCTTCTGTTGTCTGTTGTGGAGCCTTAGGTTTGGTAAATAATAAATTGAACGAGTTTTACTTGTTGTTTATTATTAAAATATTCTTCAAATTGTTTGCTTTATTGTAGTTCTTCACTCAGTAGTCTTTAGCGTATTTCCTAAGACTAATTACAAATAATTATTCTACGTATAAAATTAACTAAGCAAGGTGGGAGTTTGAGGAGTAAAAAACGGTTTTGATAAGACGCTCCGCTTCAGGTCACTGCTTCTATACGGATTTTGCCAATTCTGAGTCTTATCAGTAGTTGGTCTTGATGAAACCGCCTATTCTGCGTCTGGTTTCTGTGTTGAAAATATGAAGGAATGTTACAATCGGTCTTACGGTGAACTTTTTTAACCATTACCCCAAAACCAAAATATTATTGCGTAAGTCGATATTAC